GGAACCATTTGACGATGTAACAGATAAGATAAAGACAGCATTGAACAAAAATATGAAATTTGAATTAAGTCGTGGTTTACAGAAAATCAACATTGATCGTTTTGTTGACGAATTGTTGCAACTTATTTTACTCTTTTTAAAAAATGCACAAGACGAACAGTTGCACTGGCCGTAAGTAAAACTATTTACATAAATATTTTTTGTGCTTCTTAAACTTACAACCTGTCCTTTCATGTCCCAACTTTTTACATCGTATAGTTGGTCGACCGTTATCAAACCCTGATTGTATCATGAAAAAGTGTATGGGTTAATGTTACTTGTTTGCGTTTCATTAAGTAGCTAGTTTATTTCCAACTCTATAGCATTTAAAAATACACGCATGTTTGGAGAACACGATTTAGTTACAGGAATTTTTCTAAATACAAGAGGTTCTACTGACAACCTTGTCTAACGTAATGGAAACTCGTGTTGTTGTACACAACCCATTCATGTATAAAAAACGATGCTAAATTGATTTAAAAAGAAATGTTTGTCGTAAAATGTGATAAAACATTTTGTAACATACAAGTCATGATGGAATATGTGCGAATATCTGCAAATGTTTTGTAAAAATTTAATTCTCGGAAAAATGTTAAGATGTCATGGAAGCATGTCTTTACATAAATGAAAAAGTTATTACGAAATCATGAAAAAAGGTTTAAAGTGTACAATCATTTGCTTTTTACATTTCCAAAACTTTTCAATCAAACTTTGTCATTTAATAAGTCGAGAAAACTTATTTAACTGTATCAATAGAAAGCTAGTTGTATTCATTAGAAAAAGTTTTTTTATATAGCTCATACCACTAAAATTTTAACTTTCGTTTTTAACATATAGTTTAGCTGAGTACATCAATGCAAAGCTTGAACAAGATGGTTGTGAAATTATTAAAGATCTTGAGGAGAGTTTACCTGATGAAATTACTGTGGCACATGCTGTTGAGGCTTGGAAGCTTGCATGTCAAAAAAGTGATGACTACAATTCAAACTAGTATTGATTAATTCGACAATTTTTTTAATGACGATAAGTTGCTTGAAATTCTCTAACTTGATAATGCTCGTTAAATTTCAAGCGAGATTTGCAGATATAGCCAGGTATTTTTAAAATCAATTTACAAAAATCTCATCATTAAATTACATCAAATACAGAAAACAATTATCATTTACTATAAAAACATTGGAGAACCGTTTAAGTAACTAAAAACAGTATATCATTATTTCTGTCTTTATTAACCTATCAGCAATGTGCATGTGTGACGTTTAAACACTGAATTAAAATGTTCGTTATGTTATTCTTACTAATGTAGCGTAAATAAAGTCAAAATCTACCATTTGCTCCAATATGAATATCAAGTTTTTGAATCTTGGGAATGTGCCTTACAATGTAATAAACCTGTATTATAGAGCTTCAACTTGAAATGCCATATCATTTCAGGGAAAATGATTTCCTTTGATCGATGTTGACTTTTAAATTCCCAGGTAAATCTCATGGATAAGATAAAAACGCTATTGAGTATTATTGACGACTGGTGCTTTTTTAACTTCCAACAATTCTTATAGCTAGATGTTGCTAACCTGTTGTATACATAACGTTTTAAGCAGTTGTTGACAACTATTTTGTGAATACGTGCAGCTATTTGCCATTTCCGTGTTTTTATTGTTCAGACTATGCAATTGACTAGCTGCAATTATGAATGCATGGAGTGGCCGAGGGGCTTTAATGACTTTTCGTATTTCTTATGCCGCTCGACCACTGATATGTATATTACACTGGATAACGCACCATGTATAAAATACATTTAATTCTATAATAACTGGAACGGCTATCTCAAGCGCGGCTTTAATTAGCGGCTGACGCCAATAAAATGGAGGATTTGTTCTATTACCGCTGAGATTTACCGAAATTGACTTCTTTTCTAAAAATCTCACAATTTCTCTCTCCCCCTTGAGAAAGAGTGAGGAAAAAGTAAATGTATTTAGCATGTTTGGCAAGCAATGTTATGATGAAAATCACTGTAAAAACATAAATTTCCTAAAAGCGAGTCTACTGTGGTCGCCAGTTGTCGGCTTCTACGACGGATGCTTTTTTTAACAAACGAGCTATTTGAATGTTTTACGCAGTGCGGTGTTTGAAATTAAATGAAGATATGATCTTCGCACTTTGTTGGACAATTTAAGCAATTGTCTTATAAACCTGAAAAAATCAGGTGACTCAACGGGAATCGAACCCATGACCTCTGCGGTGCCGGTGCAGTGCTCTGACCAACTGAGCTATGAAGTCACACAGTGGTGAGCAGGTCAGTATTGTTGGGCTCATGTTTTCTCGTGAAATGAATGTTATATGAATGTTTTACGCAGTGCGGTGTTTGAAATTAAATGAAGATATGATCTTCGCACTTTGTTGGACAATTTAAGCAATTGTCTTATAAACCTGGAAAAATCTATGAACATTTCAAATCTATGAAAAAACAAAGAATTTCCCTGGTTTAATAAAGGGGAAGATAAAGCAAATGGTAAATGTCCATTCTCTACTTTATCAGGTAAATGAGCTCAAAATATTTTTTCAGCAAAAACTGAAATTAACAAGAAATATATAGCACTGAATTTTTCATCACTGAATCTTTAATGCTTCAATATGGCATGCATTACATATAAGTAATATTCAAACACAATTCTACTAAAATAATTTAATAAAGAGATTTGACCTTATTTTCCAATTTAGTTGTACAAAAATTGTACAGTTGCAGTAAGTCATCATCAATCTCAGTATAAATATTGACACAAGCACAAATTTTATGATTGTTTTACATAACATTTCATCAAGCATCAAGACACACAAAACCTTGTCATCATTATTTGGTACTTGACCTTTACTTTCAAAGCGGTCAAGGCATCTTTACTAATTCCTTTTTCTCCATCCATAAAATTAGTCCAAGTTGAAGTAACTGTTGGACAGGGAAGTCTGTAAATTAGTTACCTTTGTTTGTATTCTGCCTTATAATTTTGAAGTTAGACTCTGCCAGGTCAATAGCATCTTCCAATTGTCTTCATAGTCCTCTATGAAATAGTGTTGGCACTGGTACTGCAACATATTCCAGTAACATTTTGCTATCCGATCATCTCTTCATGTTGTCACCAAATTGATCAGAACAACCTCTGCTCTACATTATGTGTACTCTTTGGGGGTGTTCGTTTCTTCATAGTATCTGCCCACTGAGTAAAAAGAGCAGAATCTTTTTCGCGTTAGGGAAACTATTTTGCAAACAGATTTACGGTTTCACACATTAACAAATAAGTGGAAAAGTATGTTGATAGTTAAAAACATAAATAGAAAAACATCAGTCGGATTTTATCGCTCAGGCTTCAAGTTCAGTTGCTTTTCAATTACAAACAAAACAAATATCTCACCAGTGAAAGCGACTTTGTGGACATTACAATTTTCAACAATTGAATGATTGAAGTGTTTGCATTTTAAAAGAAATGCCAAAGAAGGATATCGTGTTTGTTTTTGAAAAAGGCTGTATAATTAGCTATAGACATCAGGAGGGAGGTCAATAATATAATTTTCTGCAAAGCGATCATTTCAGCGGAAATAGGTCCATTGGCCGCCATTTTTTTGGCGTCAGGTCCCAGTCCACTTAGCCGCTCCAGTTATTATAGAACTCAATGATAAAATATAGTAAGATAATTAAAGTCGGAAGCTGGCTCATCCACTGATATGTATATTAGACTTGATAACGCAAGTTACGCAAATCTTGCGAAAATTGAAGCCGAAATATCGATCATTTGCTACTGGCTTCATGGGGGATATCGGTCACACTTTACTACACTTTTGTATTACAAAATCACAGTTTTCGCGTTTTTGTTCCTTTTACAAACTTCTGATTAAGGCAAAATTTATATGACATGTAGAGGAAAACCGGTAGAGAGTTTTGACCCTGAAGCTCTGTTTTTTTGGCTTTGTAACGACTGAAAAATAAGATGGAAAGTTGTATTGAAATTTGAAAGTTAAAGGAGACGAAGACAATTTCAGCCGTGCGAGGCATTTTTAGAAGATGAATACTTAATTGCAAATTTACAACAAAGTAAGAACAAAGGTATTCATATCGTCAACATATTCATCGATATTGAAGTTGTTCACATACGTACTGGTTGAAAACCTATCTTCGCTTTATGACAACAGAGGTACTTTAATTCGCATATTTTGATGATGTACATCTCGTAGAGTTTGATGAGACCGTTTTCAACGTACTATTGTTCTTCGAAATGTCTTTCTGATTCTTTTTCTATGTCGATTTGTTTTGCTTCTTCACTGATATAATAAAGACGTAAGTTGAAATTATGATATTAGCGATGTGAATAACAAAGTGTTGTTAAATAAGTAAATTTGTAGCAATCTTCCATAAACGTCATTGCAGATGAAATTTTGGTAGCAGTAGTAGGATTCTGTAATTTTTCTACGTTTTTTAAGAAGCAGCAGCATCATATATTATCCAGTTTGTTTCAAAACAATGCAGTTGGACCTTGTACCATCTCAATTTTCTGCCATTATAAAGCCAAGAAGACAAACTTGTTAGGATTAAAGATCTTTGCCGGTTGTTCTGTCTCTTTCACAAAAATTTTGCTTGAATCAAAAGTTTGTAGAACGAATAAAAACGCAAAAACTGTGATTTTTGTAATACAAAAGTATAGTAAAGTGGAACCGATACCCCCCACGAAGGTCATAATCAGATCAGCCAACTTCGGATCAATTATCTTACTATATTTTATACATGGCTGCGTTATCCAGTGTAATATACATATCAGTGTCTTCATCACACCCAGTGATCACACCCATTCCGGGTCCGATCTGCGATTACTAGTTCTCATTATAAATCAAAGAAAATTGTAGCTTCCACTTTGGATTGCAGAGTTTAGTCAATATTGCTCACATGCTTTAAATGCCGAGGACGGTTCTGCGAAAATCAAAATTTCCTTGTATTCATATCTTTCGGCAGTTGAACTGAGTGAACATACATTTTGCAACATGATTAAGATGTTCTGATTCAATCTTTATGGAAGATAAAAATAAAACGAAGGAAACTCCTTCAGAAAGCGAAAAAGCGGATGACAACGCCGCCGATTTAAGCGACGAACGCACTTCTATTGCAAATGCATCGCTGAACGCTGAATCTAATTCAAGCAGCAGTAGCAGCAGTAGCAGTAGCAGTAGCAGAAGTAGCAGCGAAGAAATTGTTTATCCGGGAGAGGGTAAGAGTTCGATTAAGACTTTGTCACAATTATGCATATTAGGGTTTGATGGAACAAATTATCGTTGTTCTAATTGTTGGATCGAGCATTTTCGATTTTGGAATTTGCACTTTCGGTTTCACTTTACTTATTGAAGTGCTATTTGCGTTAAAGTGCTATTTCCGTGCTATTTTAGTGTAGATTCGGTTTTTGCTCATGATTTTGTGAATTTATATAAAACAGATCCTGCTTTCGTAAAAGTAACAGCACTATAATCTTGTGTGTTCAAAACCGGAAGTATAATTTTGCTCAAAATGTACAGTTTATATTAGCCAGATTCCAAATGCACAGCTCCATATCAATCCAATTCCAAAATTTAGCCAACATTTTAATGCACATTGACTTTTGCTTGATAATGTGACATGTTTGACATCTGTGAACAATTAAATGATTTACACTCATATGTGACACAGTATTTTGTAAAGAGCTCTGTAAGTCTATAGATGGCTTGATTGGATTGTTTACGTACATCATTTTGCCTCCTTGGTAGTCATTAGCTGCATGTAAATTCAAACTTCATTAAAACTTGCTATTTCTTTTATGAGTTTTTCATATTTTCTCACATTCTTAAGTTTTGTAATGTATTGCGTATTCATTCAGAATATGTGCTTATTTTACAAAGTTGGGAAAAGCAGTGCTGTAGAACTAAATTTATCAGATGGGAGCTCTCTTGACGAAGCTGAAGCCATGAAATTATGAAAAAATACCCATTTCAAAGGTAGAAGGGGCTCCTCCCCTGCTTCTACAGCACTGGGGAAAAGATAATATTAAGTGCAATATAAACAGAAGGAATAATCTAGGTTTTAAATAACAATAAATCCCACTGATATATTTTAAGGCTGGCAAGTTTATGGAAAATTAGTAAGCTTTTAATGCCTCAAGTGCATGAACCCTGCCAAATCATAAAAATATTAAATTATTTCAATCAAGCTGTCAGGGGTGAAAGTAGAATGTTAATTTGTGTGTGTGGGGTGAATACTCAGGTATTCAGCTGTGCTTGACTGATTTTGCTGGTGATTTTAATTTCAAAGGAAATAAGCAGGACAGAGCTGAATATTTGAATAATCACCCCCCCCCCCTTATTAGCCTTCCAGTTTTGCCCCTGCAAGCTGTGTCATGTAACTAACTTATGAAGTTATAACAAGTTATAACAGTGAATTTAATGTTTATTTTAAATTGTGTCATAAGTCAAAAATGCATGGATACTCAAAGGTTTAGTTGATGGTGACTGCTTTGGTATTTTGTGTGTTAAATTCAAATGAGCCTAATCATTGGTAGCACCAACTCCACTGATGAGTCAACCATTTGTTGCTACAATAATGAGTTTAAATCTGTTTTGAAAAGGGGGGTAGACTTGCCATTTCAGGTGTAATAGTAGTTTTCCTCATGTGAAGTTGTTGATTTTCAAATAAGTGGGGAACTTGCCCCCCAGGATATATGCACCCCTGACTACAGGGTCAGGCAGCTTTTCAACTTACTGCATGTCTTACATGTGATTACTCCTTAATGATGCACGTGATATTTGTAATCCCATAGCGTGAAAAATTGGAAAAGTTCTTTTTAAAGTTCAAACAAAATTTTGAAAATTGTCGACAGTGTTAGGGAAATTGGAAAACAAATACTTCATAAGTTCTAAGCAATGTGCATTTGAACAGTCTTTATAGCAGGAAAGCCATTTTCTGTGCATTCAATTGATCGTACGGTTTTCAACAGCGTAAATGATCTAAGTTAAACACATTTAGCTACCACGGAAAATCAAAAACATCCAAGTCCTAATTATGTCCAGATACAACGGGCCACTTGAAAGCCCGGGCCCGTAGACTTAAGGCCACTTAGCCTACTGGATAATCCGCCTCTGGGTTTATGAAATGAATATTGCTACTTTTTCTAATGATTATGTCCCCTGGGGAACAATAAGGACTATGTTAGATTATATTTGACTAATCACAAGGTATGTGGCGTCTTTTATGTAAATGGCGCCTTTCGTGAGTTTCTTCTTATTGCTGTCGTATTCGAACAATTAAAGTACGTGATTTGCGCAACTTTCTTTATAAATTTTTTCACTATCATCTGCATCGCCTTGCACATTGCTAATGCTGCTGTATAAAGCTATCCCTACACAAGGCATACTGAGACGTTTTGACTCTTGAAGGCTTATCCGTAAAAAAATTTAATACTTCTTCCTTATCGTGTCATAGTTTGAGTTATATCTATGCACTTATTGCATTGTGTAAGAGAAACTAAGTAACGTTTTCTCCACCTTTCCGACGGTTGATACATGGGTCAAAATACGAGATCAAGTAACAAAATTCGGACAATCAAATGGTCGGACATCGTATTGTTCATGTAGAATAGTGGCAATAAAATGGTTAGGAGATGCTTTGAGTTTGGGGGTATTTGTGAATCCGGTTCTAGTTATTTAGAACGATTATTTATGAAGGCAGAAGGCATAACAGTAAATACGAACTATATTAGGTTAGAAAAAAGCATAACGATCGAAAGGAAGCTTTAATATTACCATGTTGCCGTGCTAATGACTTTTTTGTAAGGATTGTTACTGGCCTTTACGACGTGATTTAGAATATCCAGGACGGATTCCAACTACACAAAGCGCTAAAAAGCAAGCCATACAAATTTTGAACTGCTATTTTTACTACTTATTGGATTCGCTGTTTTATAATCACTTATCAATATTATTATCATTGATGGATGAAATCTCCCTAAAATTAGATTCATTTACAAGTTGTATACGTAAAAATAGAATTTTGAACTATAGCTATGAAAAACTTCAATGACTTGATATTTTCTTCGCTCGATGCAGCTAAAATTGGATCTGGATAATCTTTGATGGGGTAGGTTCTTACAACGAAATACATACTACATGCATCTACGTAACAAAGTGGACGACTGTCTCTGCGATCAAAAGAAGTCCTTTCAATCGGAAAAGTGTACTGTTTAATCGCAAAATTACTCGATATATGAAGTTACTTTCTAGATTGAATCATGAAAAAAGAAATATACTCTCCAAAATGAATTAAAATTTTATGACATAAGGGTTCAATTTAGACGATGGCTTGGCTTATTAAATATTTGTAAAAACTATCTATGTAGAAAATCTTTGTAAAAACTTTCACTAAAAAAGTATATGATCCCTTTTTCCATAAAGCACGTGAGTGCTTTCGTTCATGAGAGTTACATTGTATAAGCAGGCTCTCGTTCATCACGAGAGAGTTATGAGAAAGTTACATTGTAAAAGGTAACATGTAAAAAACGTATAGTCAAAGAGGCAGAAGTTTTTTTAAACTTTGCAGTTTCGTTTATGAGATAAACAAAAAGATAAAATTCAAAAGCAAAAAACCCCGTTTTTGGTCCATGCTTCCCGATACCTTGTTAAGCGTAAGGCACTAGAACGCCGCATGCTATCGTTTCGGTAAGAGATTTCGGCCCCTCCACGCTATCCTACTTGGGAGATGCAATAGCAAGCTTCCGCCCATCAGACACCGAGATCAACTGCGATAGGCTTTGCTCGGGTTACGCAGGGAGAGTGCGGTCGCCACCGAAGTGTGGGCCCCTAAGCCACTGCATACTGCTTCCCAGTTTCCCAGCATACTCGCACCCAGCTTCCACTGCTAGTTTACATCTACTATATGAAGTTTTTGCTTTATATATATATATACATAAATTTAAAGGCTTACGAATGTTGTGGTATTGTTAAAGTCCCTACTGCGCATGCCCAGATGATTTCTGTACTAAATTGTTACTAAGCATGCTATTTACTTCAAAGTCGGTGCTAGTACATGCAGTTGGTCGTTGCCATGACCATGAACTTGAGCAGCATGCTCAAGTATACTGCGCATACGCAGATGATTTATCTGAAAATTTGTGACTGAGCGAGCTAATTACTCCATAATCGTACTAGTTCATACTGTTGGTCATTGCCATGACCATGAACTTGAGAGTTTGTGGAGTTGTTTAGGCATGCTCAAGCAGACTGCGCATGCGCAGATGATTTATCTGAAATTTTGTGACTGAGCAAGCTAATTATTCCATAATCAGTGCTAGTATATACAGTTGGTCGCTCTCGAAAATGATTTTTATATACTCTTACACCTTCCTTAACGATTAAGTCGTTGTGTATTTCTAAAACGAGATTTACAAATGCCCCAAGTGCACTTTCTTTCTATTTTATTGCCACTATTCTACATATACATTACTATGTCCGTCCATTTGATTGTCCGAATTTTGCAATTTGATCTCGTATTTTTGACACGTGTGTTTGAGGTGGATTGAGAAGATAAGCGAGTTGGGACACTTGAACATAACGTTGCAAGTTTAAAAAGAATACGAAGGCACTATACTAAGGTTTATTTACACGTGTACTGTAGGACATGTTTTATGATTTACTATCTTCACATAGCAAGGACCTTTCGTGTTTGCTGGTGAAAGGTTTACAACAAAGTCACAAATCCGTTTTGAAGAGTGAGATGGGATTGACTAGGTGGTTCAGGGTTAGAGGATGGTTGTCTTGACGTGGTCATAAAAAGGTGGGGTAAGAGACATGCCTCCTTCGTCTCCTCAGGATTTTCCACCTTGGTTGAATAGTGATAGGGCAAATGCCAGGACATTGTGGATGTTGAGATTTTGTATGAAAGTTTCTGATCTCTCCACGTGTTTTTAATCAGCTAACGTCTTTCTCAACTCTGCAGGTCGCTGTTACTGAAATGGCTCTTCCTTAAGAGGTGGACATGACGGAAATCGATGACCATTTGAATAAGTTGAAGCCATTTTCTATGTTCAAATATGTTTTTGTTCGTCTTTTCATTATGCGGGGCAATATTCCATCTTCACCATTTAACGGCACTTTAGGTTATGTGATTTCAATCGATTCATAAGTGGAATTGTGTGATTATCAATATCGTGTAATATTTTAGATGTTGAAACTTCTTTTTTATCAGCGTCATTTAAAGTAACCAATGACTTTCAAAATTTGTCATGATGAGATCTGATATAAGTGAAGCATTCTATTAGTGTGCACCATTATGGCCTTTCAGGGCTTCAACTTTTATTGACGGTTTTGTCGCGTCACGACTTATCATTATATGCCCGCAAGCAGGTAGGAAACCTTTTCATCTCGTCAGTCAAGCCCTAAAATTCAACTGACCTCTTCAGCTGGGCTTTTCCACCATTCGAAACGGAATTTATTACTGGACGGACATCAGAACCATCTACCACGAGCTTAATTTGTCTATTAATTTGGGACTTATGAGAGATATGTTGCTTTGGTTATCAACAGCATATGCTCTGTATGATTCATCTAATTTGTCTGGCTTGACAATATTAACATACAAGTAGGAATTTAGCTAAGTATTATGGCCGTTGTTATCTCCGCTTACAACTATGCATTTACTCATCACTTCTTCCGTTTTAAAACTCTCAATGTCATATAGTTCAACATAATAGAAAGTGCTTATGCCTATCATCTTTAGTTTCCTTGTTTGTCTTCTGTATGTGAGTTTCCTTTCCTTAAGTAGTGTAACTGATGGGCAAGGTTTGTCAATGGATCATATGAAACAGGACTGTTATAGCTGGCAGTTCAGTGTTGGTGGGTTTGAGTTGAATAGACTCACAACTGGACTTTTGGAAGAGCGTTAAATTTTACCAAGTTTTGGTTGAGAATCTTGATTCACTGATTAATGTTTACATGAGTGTATACCTGGAGCAATGTAACTCTTTCTGTGGTTGTCCCAAGTTTGCTGGAATCTCCCTGAACTGCATGTATAATATAGCCAGCCCAATTTTATTGCTCCTTTACAAATATTCAGGTATTTGATCACTGGGAAAATGATTAATGAATATTTTTGCTTTGAAATTAATGGACTAAATATAAAAAATTAAATTAATTTTTAACTTTTATGTGTGACTTTATCGACTTATTTATTTATAGAGTAAACAATTAGCTAATTATACGAACTATTACCGTTACTTTTTCAGCGATTTTTATGAAAAACATACTTGTTATTTGTGTGAAAATATGTGTATTATAAAAACTGCAAACGGGCGTACGTAATAATCGTTGGCAATGTGTTTTCAATTGAAAATTGGAAGCTATAGTTAGATTTAACCATGAGTAATGTTAAAACTGGTTTGTTTTACATTACATCAAGTAACAGTGTGTAATAACAAGTCATTATTAAGTATATTTTTGTCATTGGTAGCGGTGGAGTCGCCATCTGTATCAGTGAGGGGATTTAATTAATATATTCATCTTTTTCCCTATTATGTTCTTTTCAAATCAATTATTTCTTAAGTATTTAAGCATGTATATATGAATAATGTCCCACTCACTTATCGAACTGGTGACGACACTGATTGTGAGTTAGCTATCAAAAACGTATGTTTAAAATAGCATTGTTTTTGTATTACTATGGCAACTTTGGCAGTTTTTGTGTTCAGCATTCTGTTTAAATGCCTGTTCTGCCAAACGTAACTTAATTTTTACTATTTTGCGTCCTCTGAAAGTTTCATCGCATTTTTTGTGCTCTCTACCGATCAAATATCGAGGGAAGAATGTTAAATTTTGTAGCCAAATCATTGAAAGTAGACTGCTTCAGCCTTTCTATAGTAATTTTTATTTTCATCACCAACTTGCTTTTCATGCCAATGTATTCATAGCAGTTTTATTTTGCAGGATCTGATGATTCCTGGGATAATGAACACAATGAAAACGGAAGTAATGATGGACAAAACAATTCAAGGCATTGTGATAGTGAAGCAAAACTTGAAAAAGCCACCAATAGTAAAGAAGGCGATCTAAATGCTAATGGTGGTGGAACAAAGCGTAAAAGAGATAGTGACGGTGAAGCGAAACATCAAAAAGTTCACGATGGTGAACAAAACAGTAAAGACGCTGGTGATGATGAAGAAAAATACTCGCAGCAACGGTGGAACAAAGGCGTAAAAGGCTATGATTGTGGAGAAAAGCTTGAAGAGTTTAGTGGATGGAGAAGATAACACGATAGCCAGCGATTCACGAGAAAAACGTAAAAAAGCTGATGATGGTAGAGAAAATAACATAGAAATTTGCGATAGCGACGAAAACATAAACAAGGCTAGGGATAATGGAGAAAAACACTGAGTTTAATTGATTCAGGAAAACAAAAAGCGTAAGAAAAAGGATGGTGGCAAAGATAATGAATGAAAGAAGCAATAGTGGAGCAGGAAAGAAGAACAAGATCTGAACATGATGGTGGAGGACATGGTGGAGGAAGGAATGGATAAGAAGGTGGAACAGTGGAAATGGAATGGAATGGAATGAAATAGGATGGAATGGAGCAGAAAATAAAAAACCTAGTGATGGTGGAGCAGAAAACAAAAACCTAGATGGTGGAGCAGAAAATAAAACTAGAGATGGTGGCAGAAAATAAAAATGGTGGAGGAAGGAAGAAAAAGATGGTGGAGGAAATGTAGGAAGGAAATAGATTATGTGTTTTGATTGTTAACCCAATTTTATATTTAGTGTACGACTTTTGTAACTTAATTATCTTTAGAATATGAATGCTCATGAAAATGAATCTTTATGTAGGTTTAATAAGATCCTTTGTGTTTTGTCAATTCCAGGAAAAAACTGATCAAACACTGTTGAAAATGTCGGTTCAGAAGGATCCTTTACAACAGGTATGTGGCTATACATATATTTCAAAGTTTTATCAAAGTTTATAGATTAATGGCATCATTGTGTCGTTCGAAAAATCGCATCATCGAAACATCGATCCGAAAATCTACCAAACCCAAATTTTCTAAATGAATGGGTTCAGTATACCCCAAATTTTATAGCCTCCTTGGTTAAATTAAATGCTATTACGTACATTATACTATTCTAAGAAGGACATAAAGAGGCTGCTGAAGGCTTTAGTTTGGAGATGAGGAGGCTTTCGTTGATCATGAGGTGGAATGTGTCATTGAGGGATGAGAGGATTTTGAAGTCGTTTGGAGAAGCAGGGTGGTTGGAGAGACTTCTATGAGAAAGATTATATTAATGGTTAGTATAGCGTTTTCCAGTTAGAGATTATGGTCCACGAAAGCCTCCTCATCTTAAAACTAATGCTTTCACTTAACACCGTATTAAACTGAAGATGTCTTGAGTCAAGACGAAACGTCACTCTTTCAATAAATTTCATAAAACCAAACTGCTTTTGTCTATGTTAAAAATTTTCTAATATTTTTATTGAGAAAGATCATCGCTTCTATTCTTCTAGCTCACTCACACTTGCTAAGTGTGATACAGAAATATCGCTCCCACAAATCAATGCAAACTTGTCTTTCTCAGTATGGATAGCAAAATGTTTGCTAAAGTATTTTAAATAAAGCACTTAATGGACTAAAAATCGTGTCAAGTACCGTCTTCCAATAGTTATGAGGGATTTTAAAATCTTACTCAATGAGTGCGAGTGTTAGTGAGCTTTTAGAATACAAGCTATACAAGGCTTGATTTTCCTTCCGTATCTTTCTTTTCCTGTTCTGAAATAACTTTATCACCAGTACGGGCGTTTACCATTGCTGTTTACAAATCTTGAAGCAATTTTTGAATTTTAAAATTTACGACAAACAGAAAGTGACATATTGTCCTGTACGGTAGTTTATCTCTTGTAATAACATGGTTGCCTCGGTATCTTTTGTTATCACAGGAACATTTACTGACGTATTTCCCTCAGTTATAGGGATGATGGATATTTAGTTTTAATAATTTGGTTATACTCATTATATCCAATGTTTAGCGTAAACATCTTTCATCAATAATATAACAATACGCCTCATTTTCACATTATATTTTCGTCCTGCAGAATTGCTTCAGCTTGCATCTTCACTTTTCAACTTCTGAATCATTTTCAATTCTGCTAAATTAAAAAGTTTAATAGCATGATGTACTCGTCGGCAAGTCCTTTGAAACCACATTACTTCGAGGGCAAGTTTACCAAGTCCAGTAAACTCCAGTAACCTCATGGCCAACTGGTGTCGCATCGTTTTAACTTCAGAGTCAGACACGAGTAAATGTTTCGCCCTATTGTTCAAAATCGCCAAATTTGCGTTATTACAAGCCTTAGTGCCTCACAATTTATCTTGTTGAGTGATACAGAAATCGCCTTTCTCTCGCGTCAGAAACTAACTTGGGAAGACCAGTAATGAACCATCAATAGCTTCAACAAAATAATTAAACTACAATATGTATTAACAAAGCAAATTCATACACAGGTTCACTGAAGCAATTAAAACAGAATTTACAATTATAAGCTAGATTTTTCTTAATTACATTACCGACCATGGACAATGTACACTTCAAACAACATCAATAACTGTCAATATTTAAATAAGTGAGCTCAAAATTTGATAAAATTTTTGTCAAACGGAAGAGTCTAATGCATTGATTGTTCCACCCCCCGCAACCATGCTATTACAAAATAAACGCCATGCTTTCAGGGATATTAGTGAGAAAGTGTTCCCTTAAGCCTCGAGAGGTTTAATAAAAGTCACTTGGAAATTTTCACGTGAAATCAAAGTAACTGAGCAAGTTGCCTTTCAAAGATGTCGACCAACGACGTGCGTCCAAGGTCTACTTCAAATTTTATGTCAAAGACTGGGGGTTTAAAATTTTGCATTATAGTAAGGGGTGTCTTTTTTGTTTTTCATTACTAATTAATATATTTTCTCATTTACGTTACACTGAGTATAGGATGGTTATTTCTACCGGAAGGAAGACTTAGAGCCAGGAAACAGCGCAAAGTCCAACAAAGGAAACAGGTGTTAACCAAGCATTTTTTCAGTAATAATCACGAGCTTTAAATAGACAAATGAAGTTTCGGTTGATAGTGAAGGGGTTGGGCATGGAAAATATTATGTGTAAAAAATAATGCATAATGTGAGCTTTCACATCTTTCATGTGCGAATATAGTTATAATTTGTATTTTCTGCTTCAACTGAAAAGTTCCAATAAAATTACTGTCTTGTCGTTTCCTCCAACAAATTCTTTTGCCACTTTGAAATAATCAATAGCTTCTGTTACATGGAGTAGTAATGTAGCAGCCTGATATGGAAAAATGCTTTCTTTCCCTACCTATCATTTCCTGCAAGTACGTGTTTATTTGTCGAAGTGCAGGCAAACGTCTCTCGGAATGGCAGGCTTGATTACTTGTGACGTTGATGTACCATTGTACAATAGTGTCAACATTAGCATTTTTTCGAAAATTCCTGTAATATTTCTCTTTCAAAGCAGGCCACCTTATTGCCTATGACAAAACTTGCGTACCAAAAATAGAGTTAAAACCTAGCTTCTATGTGATCATGTAGAAACCAAATCGGCTGTTTTAAAGTTACGCATGTTTTTTAGTCAAGCGAGAAACATAGAGTAGTTGTCAAAATTATGTTATTTACTCAGCATTTTGCGTATCTAATCTTAGAAAGGACAAAAGCTCAGGAGATCCTCCTAAAGAAGAAAAAAAGCTCACGGTTGTTTTCATTGCAATGTTGTCCAAGAATTTTCAAAAGGATTTTAAAGAGGGAACAAAAATATATATTCGAGGAGATGGACCAATTTTTAATAATTGGAATAATGGACCTGGGGAAACGGTCCAAGTAGAAAGGTGTGCAGTTGTGTGCTCTATTTTGCTTGGGTTGACTTGAGTTCATGTTGAGTGATATGCTCACAAACTTTTAGTTTTTTCTATTATTGAGTATTCGAAATTTCAATGAATGTTTCTAAAGATATATGCGTATAACAACAGTACGTCATAAGAACCAAAGCGTTGTGGTTGTTTTAAAGTATAGTTACTTGCTCGCTAGAGCAAAGAGTCAGTTCAGTTATACGTTCCTCCTATATTATAGGAATAATCAACAGCAGTTTTTTCTTCGTTGTGAACTTAATGTTCCATTAAATATCTGTGATCGTAAATATGCCTACAAGTATGTTGTGGTTAATGGCAAGGGTAAACCGATGTATGAATGTTTGGTTGAAGTGGAATCCAAAGCTGCTCTCTGGAAAAACTACGGTTATATTAATCGGTGCCTTCATATTCTCAAGGAACATACTGTACAAAACAGTAAGTAAAGAAGTGAATATTTTGGACTGTTCAAAAATAACATTAGATACTATGAACTAACGACTCAGAAGAACGAAATAGCCCACAGCAACTGTATGCAAGGATTCGGGCATTTCCAATAATACTAAGGAAATTCGACAAAAAGTGCCTCATGCAATGCATTGCTTTTACCATTATTGGGCTGAGTTTCCGATGTATCATATACATGCAACAATGTATCTAAACTACATTAGAGTGACGTGACACAACCTTCGTTTTTTAGAAATATTGTACAAATACGATGGATTTGTTTACAAAAATCTCGGAAGAACCTTTCTGAATCAAGAACAACCTAAAAAAGACAGAGAGCAATTTTTTCATCTACACTTCCCACTTTGGAGAGGATTTATTGTTTCTTCATATGATGATAAATTGGAACTAGTCGAAGCTTTGGAAAGGCTTCATCTTTTGCATCTAAGTCAGGGTGTTCCTGAAATGCTTACGTCTTATGGAAGATATTGGTCGAATGAAAAAGTTGATTTGAACCAACTAGATCTTGGAAAGGTGCGAGCTTATTGTACCTAATAACCTATACCATGGAATTTGTATTGAATGCGTGGTTTCTATATATCACACAAAATTTAATGTGGTATAAGGTTATCTAAGAATTGCTTGCTTAGTGTGTTACTAATATTGTTTAGACTGGCCCGTCTGGGCGAGCGTATTTTTGTTTTGTTACATGCGTAGCAACGTATCAAATGATTCCGAATGAAAAAATTCCCGTCAAGCCTTCGGCAAGGTTTTTTTTGGGGGAGTGCTTTACTTATTATAATTGCTGATATTTCTTACTCTAAAAATAAATACTTTATATTATCTTAGAAATATTTTTTGTGGGGTTGACCCCCTTGCCAGTTCTTTTAAAAAAATACTAAAAAATGGTAACTCCAGGACTAAATTTCGACAAGAAAGACGTTTTTTATAAAAAAAGTATATGCTGGTCTATTAAAATGTACCATGTTTGGGCTTAGTTATATAATGCTCTCCTTTTCCTGGTTAAAAAACGATGTACTGTGTGATATTTACATAGATATACTTATTAAGCTCATTGTGAGACATTTTGGTATTTCTTACGTTAGCTAAGTCACGAAAGATGTTTAAGCCCTAGTTGTTAACGTTATGCGGATAGGAGACGTAGAAAGGTAAATATCGTCCAAACCTTTCGGGTTTAAATGGCAAATTTAAGAGCTTATTACCAGTATTTGATCAAGTGTTGAATAATAAATTTCTAATACAGAAATTTATATCGATGTGTTTATGCATTGGTCATGGCTTAAATCCTGTTTACATTTTAAACCTAAATTTTGAAATATTTATTTTCCAGATCTTTGTTCAAATATTGATGCAGAAAATAAAAAACAATCATGAGATCATGGAAAGTGAAGATGACGTACAGAATAAAGTCAATGCATTGATCTCTACTGTTGTCATTGTTTACGTGTTTTGTGAGTACAAAGTCAAGCTTAGTGATGACGATGTTGTGATCATGTTTAAATGCCTCGCGATCCCACCAAATGAAAATTTATGCTATAAACTGATGGAAAACGTTGGTAATTTTGATGAAAATATGTTAAGGTATGTTTTCGTAACTTCAATCATGCACCCACCAGCCGAGTCCAAAATAATCCAAAATAAACCAAAAATCTAAATTTTGATCTTTGACTTCATTATTCCTAACAAATCGTACAAGGAACGACAGCTGTTCAGTTTGCGTGGCATCTGGAGTTTCATCTGCAATTATTGCATTAGAAATTTGCCTCTTAAAATTCTAGAATTTATTTTGATAACCATTTTGAATTATATGAAAGTGTTTTATGCAGTGCGGTGTTTGAAATTAAATGAAGATATGATCTTCGCACTTTGCTGGACAATTTAAGCAATTGTCTCATGAACCTGAAAAATTCAGGTGACTCAACGGGATTCGAACCCATGACCTCAGCAGTGCCGGTGCAGTGCTCTGAGCCCAACAAAATTGACCTGCTCACCACTGTGTGACTTCATAGCTCAGTAGGTCAGAGCACTGCACCGGCACTGCAGAGGTCATGGGTTCGAATCCCGTTGAGTCACCTGAATTTTTCAGGCTCATGAGGCAATTGCAGCAAAGTGCGAAGATCATATCTTCATTTAATTTCATTTTGACTTATCTTATCAATAACTAATTGTCTGTTGTGTGAATACTCTCATATACGAATTTTTTTTGAAGAGAGTTTGTATTTTTGTTCAAAAACTTAATTTTGCCGTCTGTCCATAAAGTTGTCGGAGTTAAATAGCCCGTTTATGCATGCGTCAATTATACAGCAATGTGCATTGCAAAATTTGAATGTCATCTATATTTGAATGAGAACAATTGACGAAATGGCTTTGAGGTGGATAAGTTTGTTTGATACTTCTTTACATTTATTTTAGGCACTTCATCAATAATGTTCTCAAATTTTACGAAAAACAAGTAAAAGTGATACCTTTGGTTCTCTGGCTTAATGCGCTGCCTCTGTTGCATTTTTTACGCGAGGACTGCAAACCGTTTAAAGTCGTAGATTCCTCTAAAGCCTTGGATAGCTCAAATTGGAAGTGGTGGGGAATGAATGGATTTCCATACCGACAGTTGCAAGGTTTCACAGGAAGGTTTGCTGTGATAAGTTAAAATATTTAATTGAGGGTTGCATAATATTAATATTTAGTTACTTATAACAGTTTAATAACAGTTAAGTATACGTTTTTGGTGCAAACGAAAATTTTGTAGAGTTAGAATTTGATTTTGGGGTTGTAAGTATCATTTTTTTCATTTACATAATATGGATGTGGTGCTATATTGTTATACTACCTTTGTACTATATGCCCTTTTTGTTTTCATATGTTGACTAATGTTTTAAAAAGTATGATATTTTAATAACTCCTTAGTCCTTTGTTAGATCATTACTATACCTAAGCGTTTTTTGTACTACATTCTGCAAAAAAATATTTAAATAGGAATTAGTGGACATGACGAAACGAGTTTGTTCACAACTTGAAGTTAAGACAAAAATGTAACTTTACCCTGACTATTGTATGTGTTCTGAAGCTAAATTATTTCTACATATTTTTTAATTTGAAATACAGAGAAGCATTGGAAATTTTGCAAGATTTGAAGAAAGTTTTTAACATGGACCCTTTGATACGACGGGGCTTCCTTCTCCTCTGTCCTCTGGAGATATACCATGAACTTTTGAAAACCGGATTGTTCTCTTTTCTGGAGTTATGCTTCACCATGCGAAAGCTTCTTTCTGATCGATATCTTTCCTCAGGAAATCTTGTAAGTGCATAAAAAAATAGTTTGTTCTATGTCTCTACTTATCATTTCTTTTTCCAATATTCATGTTAACCAGCTCTTTGATTATATGCTCTTCTCTGATCTGACTTTCCCAAAATAATTGGTAAGAAATATGTTACAATTTCTGAAATCTATTGTCACGACTGTATGTAATTTGTTAATCTTATTTTCATAATTTCTTATAACAATAAGTTATTTTATTATTGCGTTCCAACTCCTACGTTACACACAACAAAAATCAGTTTCTTAAGAAAATACATTTTCTTGTTTTAAGTATAATTTTCTTAAAACAAGAAACTATTTTCTAAAGAAAAGAATATTTCTTATTATTAAAATAAACTTTCTCAAAAAGAGGAAGGTTTTTCTTAAGAACTACAATTTTCTTAGTTTAAGAAATCTGTTTTTTCTTAGCTGTTTTAAGAAAAAATAGCTATATTATGAGATAAATTTGTTAAAAAGACTCCGAATTTTCTTGGGAGAATAATAAGAAATTTTTCGCTGTGCAGAAAGTCACTTTTTGATCATCTAGTAAATTCTGTCAGCAAAACTATCTGTTTATTTTTTTAGGTCGAGACTCTTGTCAAGTTTTTAGAAGAACTGGACAAAACACTGATTCATGTGTGGTAAGCCAAATAAATATCACAATAAACACTTTGGAATGTTGCTCGAGTTAATTACAGCTGTGCAAAACACTCGCCTTCGGTTTTTGTTTCGTGCACTTTTCTTAACTATCACGTATTTATTTAAGCCATGATGTTCATACCCTTTAATGAAACAAGGCCGCTTCCTTCTTTTCTAAAAATCATCAATGTTGTTGCAATTGTGTTTGACTAGTGGCATAGCATATAGTGAACTTTTTTACTGCAAGTTTTTTTCAACGCATATCTCATATCTATCTTTTAAATAGCATAATGAAAAACAGTCAGTTGCTTTTCCAAACTAATAGGAACGCTGAGTTAGACAATCGCAACCTGTAATGTAGCTAATTGAATATGCATCACCGAGTTGTACAAGGAAGTGGCCTTACTATTTATTTATATTATTGTGCTAGTAGCGTAGCTAGTTGCCCTCTAGTTTGGCCTATTGAAACAAAAATTCTATAAGAAAAAATTTTCACGCTTTTTTACTACAGGTCGTTAAAAATTTGTAATGAAACATCTATATAATTTTATATTTGTTAGGGTTTTCTGTTGCTTATGATAATTTTAATATCTGTCTCGTAACCTACGTGTAAAAAATTGATTTGACAATGATTGGTTTCAAGGCAGTTCAATGTTTCAGAAATTTTTTCTTCGAAGATGGCGTTACGTTTCTCTAAGTCAACTTTCTCGATTTGCCTGGTAAATAATATAAGACATTAGTACTTCGTTGTGATTTGATTGACTTTTTTGGTTAACTTGTTGTGTAGTGAACCGAAGGACTTTCCCAAGGCAAAATTTGACGAAACAAATTCATTGTTAATTTCACTGAAGACAATTGCGAAGAACGTTAAAAATTATCTTCCATTGCATCAAGTGAAGTTTTTGTGTTGTTTGGCCAAGTGCACAGCCAGTGCTATTCATTTGCAAATGGCAGGATTAGACATAGAAAATGAAGGTGGAAAAAAAGACGATGGAAGAAATTGGGAAAAACTTTATGCACAACCACAGGAAATGAAAAAGTTGCTTGAACCTTTCAATGAACAAATTTCCACAGTGAAGCAATTTGTCCACTCGCAATTTTACCGCATGGATCTTGAAGATTGTGGTGACAATACATGGAAAAACGATTTGAACGTAAGTATCAAATAAGCAGTCCTTTGGAATTTGTTCAATTGTTAAGGTATGGTTAGTAAATTTTTTTCATTATCACCAAGTTAAGGATAGTAAATATTAGCCTGTTTCTGTGCATGGTAGAATTCTTTGTGTAGTAGAAATGTATATTTTTAAACCCTGTAAAATTGACGTATTGTTTAGTTGCAAATCTAAATATTTAATGAAAGCATTTTAGTTTTAAAAATGAAAGTTTCATTCAGCTACTAAAGTTAAAATAAACCATGCGCTGTTGCAATGAATTTTATTTGAAACATTATCTTTTCATCCCACAAATGAGACTAACAACACGTTGAGCAGCCATGCTGCATGCATTAAAACATCTTGTCTTTTATTTATTTTGCTGTTTAGGTCTGGAATGAGCTATTGTCGTTCACTGCTTCAGCTTTTTTTAACAATTTGTGGTTTGGTACTTTCAAAAAACAGTTCAGCGAAATGATACATAAGGTATGAAATCATTGAAAAGGTTTTGTCGGCATTGATTTGTAGAATTCCTTACAGTTTTGGATTTCAGTACGATATAAGTTCATCTTGCTAACGTGAAAAACTTCGTAACTTACAAAAAATAACGCTTTGTAACAGCACTTTTCGGGCTAGCAACATTGCTCGCCTTTTAAATAATTACATGAATGACTTGTTTTTTGACCTTGCACCTTCGCTTGTTTCAACTAACTTGGTAAATGAACTTCAAAATGTGCACTGTTTGTTCTCACAAAAGGTTTAGTATAATTTAAATCTCCTTAATTTTATTCAGGTTTCACCATTTCGTCAAATAGAGTTGTTTTGTTTATCCAACGAACAAAAATGTAGCCAAGAAGTTGCAACATGTTTGAGTGACGCTGCTTTTAAAGCAATTGAAAAAGTTGTAAAAGTAAGTTTTTCGAAACAATTTTCTTTCAGCTTTTGCTCTCGGAGTTGAAAAACTTCAAAACGTAACTACGTAAAAAGATTAGAGATTTTTTGAGATGATGCTATTTTACTTGTCTGTTTTTTGCTTTGTATTCAATCATCCTTTTAAAACTTGGACAACTTTTAGAAATACTGTATCATAACAAGAGTGAGCATACAACTATATTAACTGCATGTTAATCTTTATTGCAAAAATATTTTGCCAAAGTATCACTCTTTTTCATTTTTTACTGTAAACGGGAGCTATATTTTCACAGCTTATGCAGTTGTCATTTGGAAAAAGAACTTAGGTATAGCTTCATTCTCAGTGATGACACGATCACTGCAATTTTCACTTTTTTTTAATATGGCAGAAAGTGTCACCTTTTGAAATATGCATATTGGATGTCATGAAATTGAAATTTAATCAAGTATGCAGTATTGATGAAAATGATACTTTAGGTTTGTATTGTATTCTTAACTCCAATGATGAATCAAAACATTGATAATTCTAAGAAAGAGCGAAGATACAACGGAGCATCATAAATTGTATTGTGTTGCTTTTGTATTCATCATTTGCCTCTTCGCTGTCTGACAAAATGCATTACCTTTATAGCTTCAATAATTTTGCTTACTTTACAATAAATGGACAAATTAAAAGACGGCACATGGAAATTTTAGTTTTCGTCCCTGTTTTTGAAAAAATTGTCATTGAATCTTAGGGAGATTACAGCATACGCACATTTGAACGCTTAAGTCAAGACAAGTCATTAAAGGCAATAAAGTTACTGAGTGAAATGTTGCATAAAGCATGGCCTCATGAGCTGAACGTAGAAAGTGACTTAAGTGGGAAAAAAGAAAGAGAAATTTTGCTGTTCCACCTGCTCACATGGTCTACATGGCCAGGACTTCTCAAATTTATCGGTAAGTGTTTTATAAGTGATAGATGTATGATTTTAATCCAACATCTATTTAATATAAAGTTTTTTGTAATTCATTGACGGTGAATGGATAATTTGGGTAGAATTTTAAATTTATTTTTAAAATTTAGTCTTTTGTTCGTTGAATGTCTTTTACTTCCCTTTAATCAGGCAGCGATGCTATTAGCAAAGAGGGGCTGACAAAGGAAGGCAACTGTGAAATGATGATTGTTCATGCAGAATCATGTCTGGACAGTGTGATGGAATCAGTGTGTGATGGTAGTGTTACAGTTGAAACATTTCACTTGCTGGAGAATTATTCGAAGGAATATTTAAGCCTTAGCGAAATATACGAGGAAAGTCAAAAGAAAAGTCACACTGCTGCCACTTGGTTCTATCAACGGGAATCAGAACTAAGTAGTTTTCTTAGTTTGCACAAACAACTCTCCATCTTCGTTCATTTGAGTGAAAATTTCATTAAAGGTAAATAATCGCTCATCTTTCTCATGATCTAGTCTATTTTAGTCTTTGGAAAAATTTGCTGAATGGTGAATTAGCGAGTGCGTATCGCTTCACTCGCTAACCAACTGAAATGATGCAATTTCTTTTCTTTATGAGTACCGCAAAGGACTGAGAATAGTTGTTAAAAACACATCCTGGCATAAATTTCTTACACCATAATCTGGTTTGAATCTTTTACCTTGCTAATAATCTGGTTTGAATCTCTTACATTGCTAATAATCTTTTCAAAAGAAATACGTTCACAAAAACCTTAAATATTGATTTTTTAATTTGTATTTAATATGGTAAACGGTGTATTTTCCGCTATTTTCTTAACAACTATAATTATATGCACTGTCATATTGATTAATAAATCTCGTAAAATAAAATGCATGTTGAAAATGAAACAAATATACTAAAAAACAAATTCCGAAAAAGCAAGACATTTTGAGATTGCAAAATATGAATCAAGACGAGAAGTGAACTGTAAATTTTCGACTTTATTTCAGAGTCATCCTCAGACAGAATTATGAAGGGTGACTTTAAAATAAAGTCGAAAATTTACAGTTCACTTCTCGTCTTGTTTAGATTCATATTTTGCAATCTTAAAGTGCATGTTGGTAAAGTTTGTTTTCCTGTGCAAAAAAACTCCACGAGATTATGTTTTTCAGTGACTTGGAGAACGTGAGTTGAAGTCACTTTAAATTATCAATTTGCACGTGAAACCATACACCTGTACTTGTAAAGACAAACATGGAACACTTGACAGTAAATTAACATTGTTTGGAGCCTAGTGTGGCATTTGGTTATAACCTGTTTTCTAAATGTAGCCGAAGGAAATGTTTGGGATTCCACAATGCCCTGTAGTTGTGAGGTATATATTATTGTGGGCTAAGTAGTTTAATTGTTTCTTTACTTTTCTATAACAATAAGACATTTAAAAATAGTTTTTAAGAAAGCAATCGATCGGCATGGTGATTGCCAATTGTATATAGCGAGATAGCAATTGCCATTTGCTATCTGTAAACAAGTTTTAGATTTGCCACCACGACAACCCTATTTTACTAAACAATTACTTAAGAGATGTAAAATGGTGTGTTTTGATTTGTAAAATTATACAGTATTCTTTAAAGACAGCTGTTTACATTACAATATTCTTTTTGTAATTCTTCTCTACAGATTTTTTTCTATTTTACTTACAAAAATATAGGAACAGATTCTGTAGTTTTACCGATTTTCTTGCCAATTTTTGAATTGTTGCCAAGATAAAACTCAAAATGCTGAAATATAGCATATCCTATCTTATAAATCCTTTTAAAGCATATGCTATTTTAAGCCTTAGCAACAAGACCAAGAATACATTATTTTTATAAATACTTTACTTCTATAATTAAGACACCAACTACATATTATATTTAACACAAGAAATGAATTTGAGATGCACTTTCTGATATATATATATATAATAGATATTTAATGAAATCCCCTGAAGAGTGAGCAATCCCGAAACAGTCTTGTCGGGATGAAATAGTTTTTTTCTTATCAATATATATATATATATATACATATTGATAAGAAGAAGAAAATATATATGTGTATATACAATGTGCCCTCCCGGCTGTCACCATATTAAAATGGTAACTCCTGCACTTGAGACACAGGACGTACGGTTACACATTGTAAGGGTTGTATTGCAAAGTTACTACAGTGCTCAAACCTATAAAGGTGAGCTTTGCATATCGCGAACACGGTGAGCGTCTCCATATGAGACTCTACACAATCCGACAGTGCTCAAACTGCGCAGGCGCAGTGAGCGTAATATACAAAGTGTATATACAAAGTGCCCTCCCGGCTATCACCGTATTAAAATGGTAACTCCTGCACTTGGGACACAGGACGTACGGTTACACATTGTATGGATTGTATTGTAGAGTCACCACAGTGCTCAAACCTATAAAGGTGAGCTTTGCTCCTTCGCTACTTTGCTCCTTTGCTACTTCGCTATATATATATATATAGCGAAGTAGCTTTATGCTGAAAAATTCCATTCCGAAAAATTAGAGCAGATGTTTGAATAATTTTAAATACAAAAAATAACTGTAAGGACTATATACAAATTGATTACAAATTTTAATTTAATCACTTAATGCATTGTTTAATTTTAGTTGATGAAGAGTTTTCCTATTTACGAGGAAAGATTGACCAAGACTATCGTGATTTATCTCTGCGCGAAATTGGCTTCACCAATGGACATGGTCATTTTAATTCATTGTTTTTCAAAGTGGACAAAAGCATTCTCCTAATGATAGAAAATATGATTGCGATGCAAGAAAGTGAATTGTTTAAACAATACTGGAAGAAGTTTCAGCAAAAGTCAAAAGATGAAGTTTTTAGCATCCAGAAGATTCACGATGATGTTTGGAAAGTCATCGAAGAAAAACTTAAGACTGCTAATAAAGATTTTTTTGATGGTGTAACGGAGCTGACGAGGATTGATAAATATTTACGCTTATTTGGAAAGAATTACGACGCTATAAAAAGAGTTCAAGCTTCTTTCAAAATACTTTGGTTATCCACCGCAGGGAGATGTTGACAAACTACTTAAACCCATTATTGGTAAAGTGATTAAATACAAGAAGTTATTTGACGTAAGAGAAGCTGCGCAGGTGATACTTGATGTACGCAAAGTATTTATTCTTAAGGGTGACTTTTCTGATGTGGAAACGATTGAGAAGGTAAGTTTATCTGGTAATTTTATCAGTTGGATGATTGCATTTACGTATAACTATGATTCAGCATTGTAAAATTAAAACTTCAATCAAACACTGATATCGTAAATGGTTAAAGGCAGCAAAACATTAAAAAATCGTCGCGACAACGTTCATTTTAGTGGTTGTTTTTGACTGGATATTTTGCATTTTTAATAACGTACATGTACTTTGCTCATGAAAAATCTTTAAGATAAACAAATATCTTTGCACGGTCTTCACCAGCCGTATATGATAAAGCATTCTTGTCACAAAAAGTGACCAATTTAAATTGGAATTATTTTTGAAAAAAAAGATTTTTATTGTTGCTTCTACGTCTCTGAGGTTTGCATAAGCCAGTGCAAACAGAAAAAACATCTTTTGCCTTTATAAAATAACAGTAATGCAAAACGGATAAATTTAAAACAATGTTTTAGTTTTTCTTCTAACTTGTATTCATGAATGATTTGCAACTCTGATGGATTTGATTTATCAAGCTCAGATCGGTTTGTACATGTTATTGCTAGCTTATCTGAATATACCAATTAGCGCCCTCATTTTACTGTTTGTTTTTATAAAATCGTTTTAAAACTCTTTTAAGCATTGTTTTTATTTAAGAAAACATGTGGTGTGCAACATGATATTGTTTTTACTTTTAGATGATATCTGGTAACCTCCATGATCAAACTATTAACGATGTAAAGATGACTTACTGAAAGCGGGAGAGCTCTTAGATAATATGACCTCTTGCAGGCTGAATTGCTTAAAAGTGTTTGCCAAAAGTGTTGAATTAGTTAATTGGTTGAGAAAAAATATTAAAGGTAGAACGTTTTCTGATTTCTTAGTGATTAAATAAATACAATTCATAGTTTGTTGCTGAAAGGGAGAAGGGTTAATTAATTTCCAAAATGAATTAAGCTATCGTCACAGTGCTTTGGATTATATGTTGATAATTCGCGATTTGCGAACTTTTTTGTAAATTTTCAGATGAAAAAGCGTTAAAGGTATTCGTTGATTTGGCCATGATATCAGCTGGTGAAAGCGATATAGAAGTTGACCGTATTTCTTGTATGCATACAAGCTGTTTGGGATTTGGCTCTTTGATATTTGGCTATCGTGAAGAGCATGGTTTTCGTGAACTGATGGAACTTTGCAAACCTCTCTGGCAAGTGATTGATGCCAATCGAAAAATTGACAAAAAGCTAGTAAGTGTTCTAGTTGACCTTCATTGTATATAGGTGGCTAATTTAGACACTCTGATGTTACGTTTAATGAATTTACACCATCGTTTTGTTTTTGTAATCTTGTATAGAAACTGTGATGTTTGCCAGGTTGGGGGATAAAATGACTTAAATTAAATATAGTGTCGATTATCAAATTCTGTTGTACTGTTCAACGCAAGACAAAGTATTGCAAAACGTTGGCATTGACGAATTTATAAATTTGTTTTCCCTGAAACTACTGAGCACGCTAAACAAAAAACTTTTAAGTTATTTATCTCGTATCTAAATCAACAAAAAAACGCCAAAAATTTCTTCTGTTCTTGCGTAACATGTTTTGATTAATGATAACTGACGTCAATTTTTTACTTTAAGGAATTAACTCAGAAAAATCTTTCTTGGCTGAAGCAGATCAAGGAGTCACATGGTTCAGTTGCTTTGACAACAATGGTCCAAGTGGAAGCAATCAATTCATGTGGTATTTACTACATTGCTGACAAGGAAAAAGAAAAAGAAAACAAAGCAACGAGAACAAGTGGAAAACCTGAAGAGGTCGTGGTTCTTGTTGTTCCGGAGGATACCGATAGGAACCGAGAGGAAAAAATTTACCGTTTGGATGAAATTAAAGATATTCAAAGCAAACTCATGTTAATTGCTGGAAAAGCAGACAGTGGAAAGGAGGAAGTCGACCAATTCAATCAGGTTATTTGCTTTTTCAATTTTTTTTTAGATTACACTTGATTTGTTATCGTGCCTCTTGAGTTCTTATGAAGAAAA